GGCTTCAGGTGGTTAAAAAAGTTGAGCGTTCTCTTCTGAATGTTAATTATCAGTGGGTATCTGACTATGCTGTTATTGTTATACCTAGGTAGGTAACTCATGCTATGTTCAGTGTTTGTATTATACTATCTCTATGTGGTTATACTGTACAGTGTAAATCAAGAATCCAATCAAAATTTGGCCAGCATGAGAAAATAAATATGTATGGATGTACTGAAAAAGATAGTTACATATATCATTATTGAGCTAACAAGGAATAATGGTATGTCTTTATTATATTGTCTCCATACTTTTGTGTGTGTGCAGAAGATGAGTCGCATGAAGAGTAAAGACAACCTGAAGATTGCTATTTATGAAGTTCTGGACTGGTTGGAGAGAGAGCGATCACACTACATTAAAGATTTCTGGAGGTGTGTCTTCAAGGACACCATCATGAACCTTTACCCCACCCTGCGACTGCTGCGCAACAGCCTCATGGACGGTCAGACTCTACATTTTATGGTCATCAGGGTGTTAAAGATTGTGACCCTGCTTTCTATGTTTCTATTGTCTTTGCTTGTGATTTATGTTTTGTGTACATGGTCCCTGAAACATGTATATATACACAGTCTTCAGACTCATAAAACCCTGTTTGCAAGGTGTCCTCACATATTCTCTGCTTTTAAAATCTAAAAATAGTTAGCTAAAAGTGGATAAATGGTTAAATGTCTAGCTTCGGCCTTCTCTAAGTAGTATGAAAGCAAACCAACCTAAACATGAACTGATCAGTTGTTTTATCTGGATCTCTTTTAGCTCATTGGCTAATCTTCCAATAGCCGGAATTAAAACAATTTATAGAACATTTACACATAATTGTTGACACACATACACATACTTACATACATATGCACATATAAACTATATATACATTGGCATATATACTGTAGTGTACTACATATACACATATTCATCTACACATGTTCACATATACCATTACTCTAATACATACTTTTCTTGAGGGAGTTATTGTTCTCCCATTTCAGTTTTTCATAATGATTTTAATCTCTTATTCTTAACTTGATGTTTATCACATACTAATAGCAGTTTGTTCTTAATATTAGCTGGCTTTTGAAACTTTAGATTTTTTTAAATTAGTGAAATAGAATGTTGTCTCACATGCTTTACTACTGTAAGCCATCCCATCATAGTAGGGCTGGGCTGTATGGCCTAAAAAAATGTTCACACCACACTACTTTTTAAAATGTACTTTCTAAAAACAAAACTACAAAAGACACATTATCTTTGGTGTTGTGAAACATCTGTAATGTTGTATCACTTCTTCTAATATGCGATACTATGAGAAGATGCCCACCTCTGCATCATAGTGTGTAGATCACTCACTTTTTTTATATACCTCGATAACACCTCAAGGGTCCAGTGTGTAGGATTTAGGACCATTTAGCGGTGTAGTTGCAACTCCCTCGCTTCACCGTCGCCTTCCATGTGCAAAGGACACAAACGGCCCTATCTAGAGCCAGTGTTTGGTTTGTCCCTTCAGGGCTACTGTAGAAACATGGCGATTCCATGGAAGGTGACCTAGAGCGTCTGTAGATATAAACTGCTCATTATAAGGTAACACAAGCAATTCTTCTTTTCAGGTGATTATACGCCAATGAAAACATAACCATGAATATTATATTCAGTTTCTGAGGATCAATAAATCCTTCTGAATGTACCACACTGGACCTTTAAGAGCTTAAGTGTGATCTGCAGTCTCATATCTCTGAGCTGCATTGCTCCACAGTGCACAGCAATAATGAATGTGACTGTAGATTAGACTATGAGATATTACTATTCCTGACATTTTTATTCCTCTGTCTTACTTAAACATTGACATTGGCTGAGTGGACACAGTGGACAACAAAGGTTAGGAAGCACTGGATTAGAAAATAGGATTTGTTCTCTCATCATTTTTTGCCTGTCATTTGTTCATTCTTTGTACTTCATATTTATGTATGGACATTCATGCAGATGCATTTCATGCAATTGCAGGGTCTTTCCATTTTGACATAAAACTTCCGGAGAAGGTGGAGAAAGAAGAGACAGTCGAAGGGAAAGAGAAGGAGCTTTCGGAGGATGAGGAGGGAGAGGAGAAGAAAACGAACTCAGTGAAAAAGAAGAGGAAGCTGAGAAGTACGTGCGATGATGAGGAGGAGCAAGCTGGTCCATCATTTCAGTCAACTCCAAGTCAGAAGAAAAAGTCCAAGAAAATAT